AATAAAGAAACCGAAACCTGACTGCTTTCACAACAAATATTTAATTAAAATGTGAGGTGAGTTCATAAGTTCAGAAAAATATTTACAATTGTATCAGCAAGAATCGAAAAAGGTGCTTCCAGAATGGTTGCAAAGGACTTTGAAAGACCGGCCAGTATGCAAATTGTACAAGTTGTAATATAGAACTATGCCATCAAAAAGCATGTTGTGTGTGCGCTCAATACAATAATAAACGTTTTTCATAGACAACGCTGCGTGACTCAAAGGTCCACCACTGATCTTGGGACGGCATTTTACCCTATACCGAATTCAACGAGACTATTTACCGATTCCTTTTTTCCGGTTCGGCAACACTGCAGATCACTTCAAAAGCAATTAATATTCTAGAGGTTTTATATAATAAAAATAACAAGAAAATATGACAAGTTTTGCAAATATTTTCGTAAATAGGTGTTTTTGATTTTGATATAATATCTACACGATGAATAATAGGTGGATGTGGATACATTTGCAAATATCAGTGTTATAGGACCCAGAAATGCAAAGTGTGCTGTTGTTTACATTTGGGGTGGATTTCTAGATCATAAATTGGCGATAAATTGTTTTTGGATTTATAGATCATAAATTGATGATAAATTGTTTTTGATGTAACAAAATCTGATGAACCGGTTGGAATACGTTTTATACACTTTTTTGCAAATTAAAAAAATCGGTACATTTCGACAGGTGATATAGAGAAAAAACTAGATTGTCATGCATGCAGTCGTCAAAAACAGTGAAAACATCCTATCAAATATAATAGCTAGAAAATCGACCTATTATTTCTTGCATTGTCATTGCTCCATTCAAATAAGTTCCCTATCTTTTATGAAATGATAGAAACTGGTAATTCTATGATAGTTATCCTAATTCTAAAGCTCAAAGACATAATATTACATTTAGAATGTACCCTTATTTATAAAGCAACCGCTTTTTCGCGATTTTATTCAATATTTCAATAGAAAATACTGATATTACGAGAGCTTTGACAGCTTCCGTCAAATTGTATTTCGATGAGCTGCTCCCTTATTGGTGGAAGCTCCGTCAAATTTAAATCTAAGTGAAATCGGCTCTTGCGCTATAAAATTACTAATATTGGAAAATGGTTCAATTTACAAACACAGAAATGGCCGATATGCATTTTGTTTATAGAGTGGCTCAAGGCAATTCTAGAGCGGGTAGGCGCATTTACCAAGGAAGATATCCTCATCGCATTATACCAAATAGACAAACATTTGTGAGAATACATGGAAGGCTGTGCGAATCAGGCACCTTTCAAAGGTCGGTCACTGTAGTTTTACATTAAGTTGAGCGTAGCAACATTGCAGAATTATTAAACATCTCTCACTTTACTGTATGGAAGATTTTAGGGGAATATCAACTGTATCCTTACCACATACAGCGTGTTCAAGCATTATTACCTGCCGATTTTCCCCAATGAGTCGTTTATTGTACTTTTCTTTTGCAACAACAGGTAGTGTTTCCAAGATCTCTATCCCCAAAATTCAATTATGAACTTTAACAATAATCATATCTGAGGTCAAGAAAATACCGATGCGTTTACAGAAGTTAATTATACGTGAACTTTTGGGTCGGTACTGTAGGTGATTATCTCACTGGACCTCATTTTTTACCCCCGAGATTAAATGGTCGATAGTGTCGTCATTTTTTGGAATTTATTTTACCTGAACTACTAGAAAATGTCCCGCTGGAACTAAGAGGAGCAATATGGTTAATACATGATGTGGCTCAACCTCAGTTCAGCATAGTAGCTCGCCAATTTTTGGATGCAACTTTTGGAGAAAACTCGGTTCCAGTCATAGCCACCCAGGTCACAGGATTTAAATGTTAGATTTTTTCTTTGGGAGCAAGTAAAATCCCTCGTTTACAAAACTCCAGTCAACACTTAAGAAGAAGAGAGAAGTAACCCAACGGATACAAGATTCACGGGATCAGATAAGACATACACCAGGAATATTTCAAGGAGTTCGGGAATCAATGTTGAGATGAGCTAATGCTTGCATTGAGGTAAAAGGATAGCATTTTCAGCATCTATTATAAGTCCTGTTATTTACTGTTAGATGTTTTCATTGAAATAAAAGCTTAAATATAGTTTTAAAAAGATGTTTTCCCGGTTCGTTTTTTTTTTAATTTCCAACTTTACCAATATGCAACGCCACTAGCAAAACATTGCAATAATAAATAACGTTATGTAAATACATTATGTTTATTTGTTCTATTTAAAGAAGGTATAATCTGAGCAAAAACATTCAAAGGACGACTTTCATGTAACTTAACTACCAAAAACAAGCAATAAACTGCTTTTTATTTTTTATCTCGCAAACGAAGCGAGCTATGTAAGAAAGTCAGAGAACAAAAAAGTTGTATTTTTAGCTGCTTAATTCGAAAAAAAAATAGAGAAATAAGTCAGTGATACACAAATTTTTCAGGACCCCGCTAGACTTATTAATTTCAATTTAATTGAGGTTAAATTAGCCCCTTACTGCCCTTAATACCACTGCTAAATTTGAACAAAATCTGCTGAAAGTTTATTAAGATATTTAGGATAACCAATTTTTTTAAAGAGTTTCACATTCTGTATCTTGAAAATGAAGCATTTCTAGACCTATATTTATATGAACTTTTCATCTTAAAATTACTCAAAGAATCACTTCCTGAAGTTTGGCCATATCGATGGCTTAGTTCTAACATGGAGTATCCTCAAAAAGCGAGTTTTACAGTCCGAAGAAAAAACGATTCATTCAAGACTACTTCGTAATTTAAAGCTGTTAGATGTTTTTATTATCACATTTGAGATTAGCTTTATCTGTTTTAGACAAAATATCGACATGTAGGGACCAGTCCAGCCTTCTATGTATCTAGTATTAGCATTTGATCATGATGTTTGATATGACCTGTTTGTCTTCCACAGTGGGTTGTCTTTTTTATTCTATATAAAAATTAGGAAACTAATTGGGATTCAGTATATTGTGCAAATATAATTTGGTTTGAAACAACATTTTAACGTTATATAATCGTTTATTATTTTCTAACAACAAAGGAAAACAAAAATATGACAGCATAAAACTTCAATTGTTATCTTGTAATAAAAATAAAATAAATACATAAGACCAAATGTAATAAATTTTACTGTCTTTTGTGTTTTTCTGATTACCGCCATTTTACAAATTAGGTTTCCCTGACGTTTTATCAATTATGGATACACTCACTCTATCTAATTTCCTCAAGTTTGTGTAGAACTGTTAGAACACTTTAAAATTTTGTTTTGTTAGGGAGCAAAGTAACAATTTTTTCCTACCTTTTAGTTACTATACCTTCAATTTTTAGTTTATCATTGTCCGCCGACGACTGTTTAGGTTCTTTTTCGACGTTGTTTGATTTCCTAGTTTATTCTATCTCTTCCGTACTTCCTTCATATTGAAGTACATCGTAAAAGTCTACTTTTTAATCGTTGCAAAGGATCCCATTTCTTTTTTGTTATCTCAAGTCTTGTCTCGTAGAGCTGTTTGGGCTTATAGGCTATATCGATTTGCTTTTGGCGTTGACGTAAGACTTCATAAGGATCATTGATTTCCGATTTGTAGTAGATTTGGCCAGTGCTATCATATCTTAGGCATCTCAGATTGTTCACCTTCAAATAGTTTTTCTTATTTTATGGAGGTATGGAATTGTACCTTTTACAGTTGTACTTCGAAGTTCAGAAAATACGAATGGTTTGGGTACTCCACGTCCAAAGGGAATGATCGCATCTCTAACCAGGTTTTTGTAATCAGTAGGCAAATGTATGTCTTTCCCTCTAAGGCGCCTTTCAATGAGACAATGAGTCGAGTCACACTCCATTTAAATGTGACCCTTCTCCAGATACTTCTGCTCAATCACTATATTATACCATGTGGCCAATAGAGACAAGGCATTGAACAATATGCTATTTTTGTTTTGGTATCTGCAACTATCTGACCACAACACAATCGGTTTGGCTAGAATATTCAAAGCAGACTCTGCTTCATACTCGCTATGTTTATTTAGAGTAATGCTGTAGCTCATTTGCCAGATGTCACTTTATAGAATGCTCCAAGTGAATCTATCTGAATTGTTCTCATGTCGTAGCACTGAACCACTCTCTCGGAACAAACTCACAGACATTATTAATGATGAAGCATAAGCCAGCGAATTCTTTGGAATAGTTCGGTCCTGCGGCACAAACACAACCCTTGAGTATGTTTTAGAATGAAATTTCAATAAACTGATAATCACTGACAATGAATACAACCTACTGAAGCATATTCAAGATAGCGCTAGAGTCCAGCAGCTCAGTGTAATAAATGCAGCCTATGTGTCAGTGGAAGACAGAGTGAAGCCATGAGTACCCTGTATGGTAGTATGAGTGACAAAAATCTGACTTAAGTATTAAAGAACATCAAAAATAAACATCTAGAAGACCTGTTAGCATTTTGATTATTGTACATTAATTCTAATCTATAGTATACCAACAGAACAGTTACAAGATCCAATAGTCTGTAACCAATCTTTACTTTTTAATCAAACTTCCAAGCAATAAACAAATGATGCTTCCGAAAACATAGATAGCATTATTTGCTCAAATAAATAAAGCATTCTCTAGCAACCAACACAATCAGGAGCAAGTGGATGCTGAGGGAACTGAAAATAACAGCTGATTTAGATACAACATATTAGAATATGGGCAAAAATGGTGCTTTCATTAACACGTTGACTACGACAAATTGTCACATGATAGAAATACCCTTTTTCATTTGAAATCCATCAAAAACTCGATTTCGACACTTAGTAGGATACATCATATTAGAACTAAGCCATCGATATACTTAAATAGCACCCTGTATATATAGTATAGTATACAAGGCTCAGTATAGTATACAGAGTGTACATGGATACTCATTAAATGCAACATTATTACTTACCACAGGTATAACATGTGTAACACCATCGCCGCTATCAATAACAACTCCTGTCAAACAACGGTCTTCTACATTGATATTAGTCCAACTGGCAGCCAGTGCCAACACAGCCTGAACAGCTATATAAAGCCCAGGAACATTGAAGGATTCGAACATGATCTCAGCTAGGTATTCTCTATTCTCTGGAGTATTTAAAGGAGGTTCTGTCAAGAGAAAGTAATGGTCTTCTGGTTCTGCTCTGAGGTACTTAAAAATGCACTGCTCAAGGAACTTCTCCATCAGGTCCCAGTCTTCAACAAGACCATGGCGCACAGGATACTAAATATTAAAGATTCATACACTAGTATCAATAAAAATTGCAGATAACAGTATTTGAAAAGGTAGAACTTCGAAATGGTGATTTTCTAGCCTAGCTACACCAGCCTTTTTGGTTTCTCCATCCAACTGGGGCTAGGTATGGGTTCTAAATGATGGAAATGAGATTAAAAATACCCACAAATGGGTTAATTGCAGAATATTGTTGATATTATCTGGTAATGTTTTCATGAATAAATTTACATACTGAGCTAGAGAACTGTCATACCTTAACAGAATATCCTGTAGCATCAAAAGCTTCATCTCCAATGAAAAAATCTAAATCCTCAACACCCTTGTTCAATCTGCGGCTTGTAGTATCTCCAACTTTCGCCGTCTCCTTAATGGCAATTGCAGAAGGGATGATAAACTGAGGTTCTTTATTATCAGCAAATCCCAGTTTTGTATATCTAGAGAAGAAAATATTGACCAACAAGCAGTATAACAGTGCACTGTCTTACCCTGTGCCTACGTCTATAACACACGCTGGCAGTTTTCCGTCCATATTTATAAATTATTTATTTCTTAATATACTTAAACAGAATTATTCATTCACTTTTCTGGGCAGAAATGAACATTTTTATAGAGAAGTTAAATTTTAAATACGAAACCTAAAACACAACACCACACCTCAACAAATGTGTAATGACAGTTAGGGTTGGGCATCACAAAACATATACAATTGAGAATCACAGATGACAGCGATAAAATGACAGTAGAGTTTTAGGCAGGGGGGTGAAACTTCTTATGGGCGAACTGGCAACACCAAGATCATCCTCTCCAGTCTCCAGGCAAAATCGAGGTAACTGTATTACCGGCATAACGTGACGTGCTGCTGGCCGGAATTCAGGGTTGCCAGGCGTGGCGATTTTTCGCCAAAGTAGCAATTTGACGGCTTCAAATGGATAGCTTGGCGATTGGCTACTTCAATGTATCCAGCAAACTGGCGATATCTGACAAATTTGTGTGACGTCTTGAGTTCAATGTGAAAGGGAGAGAAGCGCAAGAAGTGGGTATACACATGTTAGAAGGAGATAGAAGCCGGCTGAAGAGCGAAGATCATCACCACATTGACCTTGCAATGGTGACGCAGACGCCCGTGCAAGCTTCCGCGTTGCCAAAATGTTACACCAGAAAATGTTCCCACAGGCTTCTATAATAGGTTAGGTTACTGTCAAACCCAAGAGGTAGGCCTATTTGAAGCAGGGCGGCAATTCCGAATGAGCGCTAGATGGGCACTGACCAAAATCGCTCATCAATGATCATGGAGGTGGAAACCTTGCCTTGGAATGTACAAGATCCGGTGGTATCAAACGAACCAATGATGTAATGTTGCAGCATTTATGACGATCCTGACCTTTCATTCCGACCTTAAATGCAGCACCATTAGGGCCGATCCGGAATCGATCTTAAACAGATTCGACACAATTCACAATTAAAAAATGTGTACGCTCAAAATAAAACCATTATTTGGGAGTAGAGAGTAAGCTAACGCATGTCTTCGACATGTACCTTAATTCAAGGAACTGGTGTAACATAATGCATAATGGCAACGAGGCAGATTGCCCCATCAGCGTTGGTAGGCAATCCGGTAATGAGCTTCGGTAATTTGGTATCCAGCCGGCTTCTATCTCGTTATAGCATATGTGTGTATATAAAGTTGTTGCACTGGACTCAAAGGAGACGGTAAGTATTAAACATTATATTTATGACCAGTGTTCAAATCTCGCTATTGCCATTATATGCCCAGGTCTTGTGTTCTGTACCTATATTTATCAAAATCAAATATAGGATATTTGCATTTATCAGCTCATATTCGTACATACACATAACAGTTTTTCTTATGTTCGATGTTTTCTAATCGTAACTTAGCATGCCTAAATGAATGTTTTTTTGTATTGAGTGTCTTAGTTTAGTCATGTACAGGGTGTTTCTCAAATATGGGACAAATGTCTGACTATCCTAGAACAATTTGGTTCTCTTGATTTGTGAACCACCGCTTGACTAGGAAGAAACAGGATCCCTGAAAAACGTCATTGGAAATAGGTGTTCCTTAAAAAATTAAAAAAAAAGAAACGGTCTTGTTCTAATACATACTATACTACTTACATCACTGGCGCGCTAATCCTCGAAAAGTTAGCAAGTTGATCACAAATTGCATATCCTGGGGCTTTCGGATGGCTGATTACGTATCTGTTATAATAATTTCCAAATTTTAAAAACGGGGAAAATAGAGTATATTGGGATCGTTATCATAATTTATAAAACTGATGTACCAAAATAATTAACCTGTTTTACTCAAAAGCGGTTCATTATATCGGAGTCAAACAAAGAAACAATTGTTACACATTTTTTCAGATGCAGAATTATGAAATAAAAAAAAATCATACTTAAACAATTATTATACAGGATTTAAAAAAGAATAAGTTTACCATGTGCACCGTGATGTGAGGTTATAACTAGTTATGCTGCTTCATTGGGTTACACGATGTTGTTCTAGAACCAGAAAGACCATTTCCAGAGGCGTCCATCAGGGGTCTAGATCTCCAAAGCATCGCGGTATTCAAAAAATTGTCAGATTGTCACTAAGTACTCTTAGAATAGTCCGAAGAATAGCGAATTGTTGCCCCCATTTTGAAATTTGAATAAATATAGCTGTTGCAAGAAAGTATTCTGCATGTTTTTTTGTATGATTTTATAGGGTGACTCTAGAGAAAAAGGTGATGGTAGATCAAAATGCAATAGAGGTGATGGCCCCTTTAGAAAAATAGATTAATTTTTTGCTAAAAAGCCCCGGGTTGATGTTGATATTAATGAAGAGACGAAGATTTTGCCTATACAAACAAATTTCAGCTATGCTGCTTCGACTTCTACAGCTACCGTCAATGAAGAAAAAAAGACTGCCCATGCCGGTGCTTCTTAATCTAGTGAAGAAAAAAGTATGCTTCTATTACGAATGCTGGTCAGTGCATGTCGGCATCGCATCCGTCGTCTTCTGATTATGATCTGGTGAACAACTGGCTTTGACAATCTGAATTTTCCTCAGACATTAGATGGTATGCAGGGAAAAGCATAGATAATTCAACAAGAGCAATGCTACTTGAAAAGCCTTGGGTGCCTGCACCGAATTATATTTTTCCACAGTGTTTTAAATAAAAAAGGGAAGCAAACAAAAAAAATTGCACAGAAGTCTCATTTTGAGAAGTTTCATTGGCCTGTTTTATCACTTAAAGATCAGGGCCTTTACTGCAAATATTGGGTTTTGTTTATAGTAGCATCCGGAGGTGGCATACAAGCCACTAAAGGCCTATGATAATTTGCTTGGTGAAAATGGTGTCCTCCTGATAGATCAGCGGAATCAGTACCACGAAAGAGCTGTGGAAGCGAAAAAGAACTTTTTATTGACGTATCATAAACCTGAAAATAATATCCTGAATCAAATTAGCAGCGAAAGAATGAAACAAGTCAATGAAAACAGAGAGCGGCTGCTAAAATGCGAGGTATCTGCGAGACGCGCTGGGTTGAAAGGCATGATGGGCATTTACAATTTCAAAGAGATAGTTTGGACAAGATTTGTAGCGTTCTGGAAGAAATTTCTACTTGGCAAGACAATAAGGCAGCTCAAGACGCATATTGCTTACTTCAAACGTTACATACAGTATATTCAGATAAGAGATAGACCGGATGTAAACAAAAGGTTCGGGTGATTTTCACGCTAACGCCGCCGTCTCGACGTAAAACAGGAGCCCTCATTGGTCAATTCGCAATTAAATGCCTATGCCGAGCGGCAGAGCAGTCGTATCAAGGCAGAGTCACATTCAGGTTCAGACGTGTTACGTATGTCGTTTGCATCATTGCAATTTGATATTTCTTTGGACGTTTTCGTTTGTTATCTTATTAAGTTGTTGAGTTTGTCGTTGTTATTGTTATACCTTGTTATTGATTGTTATTGTTATCAACTGCTTGCGCAAAATGCCCAGTAGTACAGATACTGCCGATGAAGTTGTAAACTCCTGTAGTCCACCTAGGAAACGCTCTAAAAAAGGACACCTGAGTGCCGAAATGAAAGAGGTCATTTTGAATATATATAAGATCGAGCGCGAGGAGAACGAGGCATCAACCATCAAAGAAATTGTTGTGAAGGTTTCTCACAAAGTTGGGGTGTGTCGCGCATCAGTGTTTAATGTGTTAAGACAATACAAAAAAAATCACACCTTTTCTGAGCCAATGACCAGTAAACATCGCAAAAGTATTGTTAAATCATTGGATGAAGCTGATAAGCATGCGATTAGGAGGAAAGTGCATGAATTCTTCTTTAGGAATGAAATACCTACTATAGATAAAGTACTGCAGGAGGTAAATGGAGATACAACGTTGCCAAATTTCAAACGATCAACTTTCCATGCGTTACTGAAGCATTTAAATTTCAAATGGAAAAAACGGGGTCGTAATAGTTTACTACTGGATAGAGAAGAAATTGTGCTATGGAGGAGAGATTATTTATCAAAAATTGGGAAATGTAGAAATCAAAACAGGAAGATTTATTACCTTGATGAAACGTGGGTAAACGCAGGACACACAAGTAAAGTATGGGTTGATGATTCTGTAACTTCATCCAGGAGGGCCTTTCTAGATGGACTGTCCACCGGATTAAAAAATCCAGCAGGTAAATACGAGTAATAGACAACAATCGGATGTTTTTCAAACCTTGGGAACAAGGTTCTAAACATTAATTCCAGGGGGCAGATGAAACATATTACAAGTAACAAAACTTTTATAACTTTCGATAAAATGCGTGGATGTTTTATTGTCATTTTCATTTGTTAGAACTTTTAATTTTTAAATATAATTTTAAAATATGTCGAATATTATAAACTTAAAAAAAGTTACTAAGTTTTATATTGTGTAGCGTTCCTAATATTTCTAATCATTTTAATTCATACTTTAAGCTTTATAAAGTTATAATTTGTTAATATTAATATTTGCGCGTATTTCAGGTTCCTGATCATTCATTTTTTAAAGGTTTATAACTTTAAATTAAATTGTGAAGCGCTGATACGACGTTCAATATTCTTTCTTTCAATATGACTAAATAATCCCAGTTATAGCAATCTGATACTCATGTCTCAATGTTTTTTCGCTGAATGTGATGAAAACATTTGAAAAAGGTTCGCTTATTGAAATAAATCTACAGCAGTTAGTACTTCGATTTCCAGGTAAAGGGAAAAGGCTCATTATCTGCCATATTGGCAGTGAGGATGGATTTGTTGTTGACGGTCTGTGGTGCTTTGAGTCTAAGAAAACTGGAGATTACCACGAGGAAATGAATGGCGAATCGTTTGAACAGTGGTTTTCAAAAATTTTACCGAACTCAGAGGAAAACGCAGTAATTGTGTTGGATAATGCGCCTTATCATTCTCGAAGAATGAAGAAGGTCCCAACAACGGCTTCAAGGAAAGTTGATGTTCAAAATTGGCTCCGCTCGAAAAATATCAACTTTGAAGAAGCAATGCTGAAAGTACAATTATTAAGAATTGTCAAGGATCACAAGGCGGAATATCAAAAATACGCCATTGACGAAATGGCAGCAAGTCAAAATAAAACTGTGCTCCGTTTACTTCCATACCATTGCGAGCTCAATCCCATTGAGCTCATATGGGCAGAGGTTAAAAATTATATAGCTAAGCACAATACAACTTTTAAATTTTGTGACCTCAAAGGACTTTTCAAAGAAGCACTAGAATTAATAACAGCGCAAAAATGGGAAAACTGTATTAAGCACGTGAAAGACAAAGTTGAAAAGAGAATGTGGGAACTGGACAATATTTTAGAGGAACAAGTCGAGCCATTCATTATTGACGTTGGTGCTTCAGGCAGTAGCGATGATGAAAGCTCATCAAGCTCATCTTTCCAAAAAAAGATGTCGTTCATCAAATTCGGTAAGTTATAAGTAATTATAAAGCTACTGTATTTTTTAATTAATTATTGACATTTTTGAATCCATTTTGGCAAAACCTATTCAAGAATCTACTTTCTGACAATGTTCAACCATGCACATTTTTTTACGTTTTGAACGTTTTAATTTGGTTACATATTTACCTAGAAATCAAAAAATATACTAATCAATATTTTAAAAGCAATTTTAAGAGATTATTTTTAATTTAGGCTAATTTAAACGCCATTTTGAGATTATATTCGACTGTATTTCACCAAACATACATCATTATATATTTCTTACTCCACCCCCACATGATCCTATATCCATCACCAATCGTATACACATCGAATTGTGCTAATTTACTACAAAGTTACGCAAAGCAGCATCTACTATCTAAAATATGTACTGCGTGACTCTTAATACGTCCCTGCCGAATGTTACAGCGTTCGATGATCACGTGGTCTTGTTTATGTCCGGTCTATCTCTTATCTGAATATACTGTAGTTTAGACTTTATTTACATCATCTGTCTGCTTGAGTGGTGTTTTAGGTAGGTATACTATTTTTCACGAGTAACCATCACGGAACAACAGCAGAAAATGACAGATTTGAATTGTTTCTATATAATCATTGATCAGCTGTCATTTTTTGATATTCCCTGATGGTTACTCGTAAAAAATAGTAGATATATAGTCAGAATCACGAAAGATGACCTTTACGTCATACCATATATTGTACTGAAGTAATCAATGGACGTACGTCGATGATAAAATCACGATGTCAGGAATGACGACAACAAATTTGTATTATGATTTTGCGAAGTTAGGTTATTTAACTGATTATTTTTATTTTCATTGAAAATCATGGTTTTAAGTAATAATAATCTTAGTGCGGAGTTTTAAAAAAAACAGTTATGATTAGAATCCCTTAAGACAGAAGCACCAAAGACCAAAGTATTATTCGAAAACAACCTAACCTGCTTTAAAATAACCTAACTACTCATCTTTCAAATATGATCGATCACGCAACATGAAAACATCGTCTATCTTTGTCGGATACATGCATACTATCAATACAGTTTGTTTAGGCCCGTATCGTCAGTCGTCCCTACAATTGTAGGGCGCGTTTATGGCCTCCTTGATTTCGATAATATTACGTCTTCTTCGGTAAGATACATGTATGTCCTGCTTTACATTTTTAGTCTGCTGTCAATCAGAATTCAATTGTGATGTTAGGTTATGTTTCTTTTTTGACGAAATTTTTGACAGATGAATCAAATGCCGAAGGATATTTTCTTGCAAATAATGTTGATCATTCAATAATAATTTCCTACATTGAACAAATTCGTCAGGCTGTGGTATCTTCAAGTCCCATATCTGGTATTAATGATCTAAAATCAACAATTTAATGCAAATGGATGTGATTTATATATATTTGCCTAACAGCTTACAACAAAGCTGTTCCTTGATGAAGCTGGTAAGTTACACAATTTTTAAACATTGCATATTCATGTTTATATACTTATCGCATTTTTTTCAGATGTGGTTCGTGCTCACAGACTTTATGAGATGTTGGATAAGAAACATTGTATGTGAAGTACAACTGCATTGTTGATGTCGGAGATAGCTGTTCACAAATCATAGTTAGAATTTGGATTGCATGGTGTCAGCCTACAAGTATGTATAATGTGTAAATGCTGAAATCGAGTTTAAACATGCCCTACCCTATCTGGTATTTTTTTTATATTAGTGGGAACCTTAACCTAAAAATTTCAGACTATAACTCTAAAAAATATCATTATAAAATTGTAGCCCACACCAAGGTGTAAAATTTTTAATGTTTCTTGAATCTATGCATCTTTTTTGCATATAAACCATCGTAATATTGCATACAAAACTCCATATCTATTTTGGAAGGATAAAGAGACGAATGATCTTCCTAAGAATGGATTCATGCATCCAGGCACTTGAAAGCATTTTTGCAGGAGCCAACCTTACTGGAATAAGTGAATAAGTGATTGACATGTGTTAAACTGCAATTTGTAAATTAAAGGTAGGCATAAGCCTGTATATTCATAAAAGTTAAAATCTATTGAGTTCAAGAGGAGCTTTTTTATGCCTGGGAAGGGGGTACTCAAATGTCTAATGGTTAATGTTGCATGTGAGAGATAAAATGTCACACGAAACCCGATAAAGTGGCTTTTTGAATATTGTAATCAACATTTCTATTTGACAAAATCTCACAAAGCTGATGCCATAGGTTAAATAAGAATTCAGTGATCTAGCAAAAATGCTATATGAAATACATATTTTAATACTTATGGTTATATCGGTACTTAGGAGTAAAACATAAGAAATCACCATTACTTATACGGCTATTTTTTCAGATCAGATTGCTCAAAGAACATCCAATCCTGATAAACCCAGGGTACAAGATATTGTTCCAAGACAATAACTCCAGTGGAAGGAACGTTATTAGAGGGAAAACAAGAAGAGTCAATGAATTTAAATTGGATATTTCAAGAAGTTTGATACCTAGAGTTAATTAACTTTCCAAAATGATCTAATGTACCCCCAAACTAGAAAGATTTCTTTGCAATTGATTAGATATCCTTTCAGCCCTGTTTACATAGCTTGTAATTTAGAAAATAGCATATAATTTAGTTAACGTCAAGGATTAAAAATTGGTGAAATCTATATTTCTAGATATTTTTGAACGAACCTATTGTATTTCTGTGTGTATACAATGTAGAATAAAAAATATTTATTTTACCAAGTATTCTTTTATTTATATTCTGCAAGTACCAACTGGAAAATATGATACATGAAATTGTTGAGGAATTTATAGATAATATGTCAAAATACCTAAGTATCCGTAATCAAATGAAGACTTTATATCTAAAAGGTACAAATAATAACAGGAAATATGAACAAATATGAAAAAACATATGAAACACTACAATCGTGTATTACAATAATCTTTTTAATAAACACAAATTTACTTACATAAAATATATAAGTTGTTTTCCAACTAAATGTCAATATTTAAGAGGGCGACTTTTGGTTCCATTTTAAGAAGAAAAGCTTTTTAAAAATCAATCATTTTTTTGTTACGATCTGTAATATCACTTTAAGTACTTTATTAAAATTCTGCATATATGTACTATCAAGAGGTAATTTTAATCTACGAATTTTCTTTTGATTTCCACCAGCGACGTTCGTACCGATTTCACTTGCTTATTTTGGCAAACAATGCTATTACGCAACTGATTTCTCTTAAAATAAAAGCTTAATTGAAATCCCGTCATTTCTAGAGGCAAATTTGATTGCTTAATTTTTGTTCACTCCGATGCACGGTATTCGCTTACAAAAATAAAAAAAACCTTTCTTTGCATGATCCTAATATCGTTAGTATGACAATGTCACTATGTCGAGAAATAGATTGTATTTTTCAGGTGAAAACCGTGCGTCAGACTAAAAGAATTCAATTTTTCATGTCCGACCCACTATTTCCACCCAAAAAATTCTCTGCATGGTGTTATTGTCATGTTAACAATATTGTTATGATCGGTTTTATAAAAACCGTGCATTAGGTTGAAAAAAATCATTTCATATCGATTTTTGCTTCGAAGTGATTGAAAATTTTAATGAGAGAGAAATAAACTGCATACCATCACTGTCTATCAAAGCAGGCAGGTAAAATTAAAAGAATGCCTCTTGACACGTTTACATGTATGCCACATTTCATTAAGTGGTAATACGGATATTCATAATCAAGGATTTATGTTTTTGACCTGTTTTACCACCCTGTGTTTCAAAAGTTAAAACATTTAGGATATACGATCATTTGAAGTTTTCATCTTAAAATGGACCTGAAACCACCCCCCTAGTTATGGGCATTAAATTAGGAAACACACTAAATTGCAGCTACCAATACTTCAAGAGATGAATGCAGACTTTCGAGCCAAAGATTTCATGTTTTTTTTTCTGTGACTATCATAACTAGCAAAATCTGCTCTTCATATGAATGTTTCAAATATCAAACCTGTTCGGTTTATGATATTTCTTTCTCAAACAGTAAATGTTTTTCTTTCCTATGCCACAGTTTTAATATATTTCCCCTTTTATGTTAAGATTACAAGTCAATTAGCAAATTGGAACTGTATTTATCTGTTCTCACTTTTTCTTCATATACCACATTCTACAAAATTAATATATGGTGCAACACATTTGATAAATACAACATATTGTTCTTTGAGGCTCAGTGCATTGATCCTCCTTGTCCTTGATGATGCCACTGAAGTATGCTCAGTAGCTGAAGGCTCTATTATTGATAGCGATTTAAATCCAAAATTTATACCCAGCAGTTTAAATACAAATCAAATTCTGTACCTCAGAGCTAGGTTAGGTTAAGTTCATTTTTGCCTAAAATGAGTCTTACATGCTAAGTTCATGATAAAGTTGGGAGTTTTGATTGGATACTTGCAACATCTATCTACCTGTAATGATGAGTGAATTATGAATGCAATGAAACTATCTTAAAACTACCTATTAGGGCTTAACCCAGTCTCACTTTGATGATGACGTAATCATCATCTTTCGTGATTTCGACTATAATCAAATCCAAGCGAATAACCAAAATTTCTGTGTTATGTACCGCGGTTATAATATGGTTTAAGATGACACACGGGTTGATGACGTCAGTTACTCGAATCGCTTGAACGCGTTGGTTTTAACCGCGGTTTTGTTGCAAGTTGTTTATTTTAGAAAAGCGCGCATATAATTTCTGATTATTTTTATTATCGCTTAATAATCGTTGCTTCTTCGTCTACAACAGTGTATGGAAAGTTTAAAAAAGAAACTTTTCATAATATTAATGGGAGGAATGTTTTTTTTTTTCAGAAAATAATTTTTAATGATGGAACCATGGCTCTGTAGAACTTTCAAGTCTCTAAACTTTTTCGCATGTCAAAGACAACATTTAATGATTTAGCAGAAATGATAGGAAAAAGCGATGAAAAAAGATATTAGCAAAACCGTATACAGGTGGTCATTATCCAGTGAGTGTTTAAGGCCATATTTTAATATTTTTGTGGTTATGGATACACAGGGTACTTTGTTAAGCATAGGAACTAGATTTAAAGTGTGCCCAACAACAGTAATGAGCATAACTAATAAGATGCTCTACTTGCGTGCTACAACTGAAGTCAGCCTGTATCAAAATATCCAATACCCGGCAAAATCCTAACTGGTCACATTTCAAATAATAACCAGAAATATAAAACTACTCCCGAGTTCTGTAAAGACCACAATTGTGCGGTGATAACTATGACATATAACAGCTGATTTATGACGTCACGGATCTTAAAACCAAACAGATAACCGCACTTGCTTGAACGGATCGGCAAATACTAATCCAAAATGGTAAATACCATTTTCATTTGGTTATTCACTTGAATTTGATTTATAGATAGAAGCTGCGGTTGTATTCTAAAAAGAAAATTCTTTTTGCAGCGTTTCTGGTTGATCTTGAGCGACACAAAAATGACAGAATTTATATTGAATGTAATTTAATTCTGTCATTTTCATTTCACTCGAGGTCAACCGGAACCAGATCCGATGGGGAAAGGATATTCCTAAAATGGCAAGCGACGGGTGGCAGGCGGTAGAACGAATGTTTGGAACTTTGTTCATACATCAAAACCTGTATAAATAACATTTAATTTAAAAACTAAAGAGTAAAGTGAATAAAACAATGGTTAACTATAGCTCTATCATTTATTTAACTATCAGTCGTTTCCAGGTAAATAATAATACTTGAAAGAGTGTTTCGTTGGTTTCAGAGACCAACGCGCGGGTATAGGAAAGTTAAAGTTCTCATTTCTATTTGACATAGATGCGGCGGTGAAGGGGAGATGTCGCCTGTAACTGCAAAATGCGACATATACGGGTGACGCCACTCTGAAACACGGAACTATTGATACTACATCTACACTTTACTGCTGTTATTATTAGATTAATTTTTATATTATGATTCAACAAAATTAACTAAAATAATAATAAGTAATAAATTATAATTAACATCAATTAAAGATTCGGATTTCTATATTTATTTTTGGGATCAGTAACGTTGCAGTGTTTCAGTATAAAATTGTTCTGGGTGATTTTCTCTGATTTTTTGTAAAATGAGTCATACAAATTTTTACGTCTCTCATGGTCATCAGTGATATACATTGAAATGGCTGGTACGGCTTACCTACATGCCCACATTTTTGAAATGCTGCCAATAATTTTGCAGAATACCTACAAAAATACATACAAATAAATTACTATTACTACCGTGCTACAAGTATCTATTAGTTACCTGTTGCGTTTTGCATGTTCCCGCTTAGACGGCGTTTTAACTTTCTTTCGAGATCTATTACCTTCCGATGGTAGTTTATTACATTTTTCGATATGCAATTCACTCATATTTTAGGATAAAATACTATCAAACTAGATCGCACAACTTTAATTTCGAGACTAAACGCAAAATAAACAAAAGTCAGGGCGCCAAACCTCGACTGGAACACGTGATTGACCAAACACGAATTTAATTGGTCGACATGTCGGTATTTGAATTTAAAGGACGCGTGGACATGTCGGCTTTTGCGCTAAAAATATTGCATAGTTTGTAGCCCCTTAGATAAATATTGTGACTTGTCGGGTTCTGCATTTAGACGACTGATTTTTGATTTAATAATTTAACTCAATTTTCCGCACTGCGAAGACAAATTTTCAATTGACGTCTGTTTTTTAAAGAGGCGCTTGCCTGCGGTGTTGCCGGTGTGGGCTCCGCATTTAGGGAAAAATATGAAAAGTTGAAAATTTATATACATATGTATATTAATTAATGAATCACAAAAACGAAAAACTGAAACAAACAACAGTAGCAAAATAAAAGGCAATTCATAACAGTAGTAAGCTAAAATATGATAAATTAAAAATAATTATAAAAAACAAAAAAAGTAGTAAAACAAAAACGAATTCCTTGTAATTATAAAAATCAAAAAATAACAAACAGCAGTAAAATAAAAGCAATTCTAAGTGATTATAAAAAACAAAAAAAAACAATTCCATGTTGAATAAAAAGTGACAACACAAAACAAAAAGTAAAAAAAAAGTGAAACGAAGAACAATTTCATTCCATCCAAATTGCTTTTATTTTAGTGTTTGTTATTTTTTGTTTTTTATAATTAAATGGAATTGTTTTTTTGTTTTACTACTTAATTTTTTGTTTTTTTTATTATCACATAGTATTGCTTTTTATTTTACTGCTGTTAGTTACTTTTTGTTTTATACTTAGTAAGAATTACTTTTAATTTTACTACTGTTCTTTGTTTTTGTGTTTCATTAATATAAATGTATATAAATTTTCCACTTCATATTTTTCCCTAAACACGGAGCCCAATCCGGCAACACCGCAGGCAAGCGCCTCTCATATATGATATATCCACAGACGTCAGCATCATATGGTAGATGGCGATGGAAATAACTGCTAAAAAATACAATGTCTTGGGAAAAAAATTTCATGAGAAGCGTGCTTCATCCACACTTTTTATGAAATAAAATAATTTATTAGATTACCCTCTATAGGTTTCAAGGAAACAAACAGTGAAATCCGAAGTTCTACAAGACGCAACAGTACCAATCTATCTATATTTTCTTGAAATACATTATATCATTGTCAACAGCATATGAATATTTTTTCAAACTAAATAAATTTGGTGGTTCATAATTAGGTTTGGATTTCATTATTCTGAACATTTTTCTCTGCAAAACTGCTGAAAGAGATATATTAGTTTTCAATATCGGAAATATCATTTTCAGCAGATTTTAAATTATAAACAAATGAAATCTCAGGCACATTCCTAGCATTCCTTATTCCAGGCGCATCCTTTCGAGTCGATGGTCGATGGTTCCTCCAGATGTCCAGGCAAGTAGGCGGCGCAACCATCTGCCAAACGTCGACGGTTTTGTGGTTTTAGTTTAGACAAAATGACCAACATGAACATACCGAATACCGAAACGAAACTGCATTCGACACCACAAGACACATAAGACTGAAGAAGTGGTAGCTGCACGTTAAATAACGGCAACACCGTTGACGTTTGTCAGATGGCTGCGCTGCCTTCGTGCCTGGAGATCTGAAGGAACTATCGAAGGAATTAAAAAAATGCGCCAGGATACTATGGATGCGGAATGTGACGGAGATTTAGTTTATACTAAGTGACATATAAATCTGAACACCCAGTTTAAATGGTTTTATTTTAATAAAAGTTGGTGAATGTATTTATCTTACTTTTTTTTCAAGTGAAAAAATTTTCAGCCTTATCAGTTGGACATTCCGGTTTTTATACTGCTTTTTCTAATTCACTAACGCTCTAAAAATGAATATTTCAGCTGCAGTAAAGAATCAACATTGGCGGATTTTGGTTCTTGACACCCTTTACGATCGGTTACGATGCCTAGAGTACGGAGACCTGTACGATTTCGTCAACTTAGTGAGTTTGATAGGGGCCGTATAGTGGGACTTCGGGAAGCTGGACTTTCTTTTCGGGCAATTGCAGTTAGAGTGCAAAGAAGTGTAGACACTGTAGTTAGGTGTTGTCAGGCATGGCTTCGAGAAGGCCGTACGCAAAGAGCAAGGGGCACTGGACGCCGCCGTAGAACAACAGACCGTGAAGATCGCCGCCTAAGATTATTGGCCTTAAGGGACCGTTTCTCCACTACCAGGTCCATTGCAAATGAATGGTTTTCAGAACACGGAAGACCTATTGGCATGCGAAGTGTTTACCGACGAATGAGAAGTTTTGGCTTGTTTTCATACCGGCCACACTGGGTCCTCCCTTTAACTCGAGAACACCGACGTAATCGCCTTGAGTGGTGCAGACAACGGTCACTCTGGGATCAGGAATGGAACAGTATTGTCTTTAGTGACGAGTCTCGATTTTGTTTAGGCATGCACGATGGTCGTGCCAGGGTTAGAAGGCGACGTGGTGAAAGGAGGAATCCACAGTTTTTTGTTGAAAGACATGTTCATCACACTGTTGGAGTTATGGTTTGGGGTGCTATAGCTTATGGTTCCAGGTCACCTTTAATCTTCATCAGAGGTAACATGAACGCGCAGCGTTATACCCACGAAGTTCTAGAACCCCATCTTTTACCCTATCTTGACACCCTGGCAGATCCAACTTTCCAACAAGATAATGCCCGACCACATGTTGCAAGAGTCACAATAGACTTCATTCAACATAATGATGTCACATTGTTACCATGGCCACCAAGATCTCCCGACTTATCCCCAATTGAGCACGTGTGGGATATGATGGGTAGGAGATTGCTCAATTTGCAACGTCCTCCTCAGACTCTAGAAGCACTTCGAGAGGAGTTGGTGGTTGCCTGGAATGAGATACCACAGGAGGACATTGACCACCTGATCAGAAGCATGCCTAGGCGCGTTGGAGAATGCGTAGCACATCAGGGTGCATCCACACATTATTAAAGGTCAAAGGGCTTCATTAAGTACTTATACAAAATTTTATTAAAATAAAACCATTTAAACTGGGTGTTCGGATTTATATGTCACTTAGTATATTTACAATTTAAAATCTGCTGAAAGTGATATTTCCCATATTGAAGAAATATTTTATGAACATAGATGCATAAAATATCCTCAATAAAGGAAATACATGTTTCAGCAGTTCTGCTGGTAACCAGTTTTGGAATAATAAAACGTGCGTAATCAATAAAATATTTATTAAATAGTTAAATATATAAATAATAATCATTAACAATTTATCACCACAGTACATAGACAATATATATAGGTAATTTTGACATCCGGAGCTTCCTCTATATTATTAAGTGAATAAGTGATGTTTCTAAACTAAAAAATGCAAACCATACATTAGTAGCATACAAAGCGATAAAAAGCGACCATCAGTTAAAAAAGGAATTGGTTATCAACATGATGCCAGCACTACCTTTTGTTAACATCATTTATACTAAAACAACAAAAAATAAATCTCTGTACTTAAATAAATCTAATCCGATAAAACAAATTTACACCCGCGGTTATAGTGTAAAAATGAGGAAAAAAATGAAAGTTCAAAATAAACTAGACATTCCTCATACTTAAAACAAAAAGCTCCTGATGTCTATGACAGTACAGGAAGTAACAAAATAAATAATTATTCTTGGTCCAACTGCTCCCTCCCAAGGATGTTGCAACCATGAATCAAAAAAAAATAATTCTTTAGGTATAATAATCACAGTAGTATTTGGTTAATGAAAGTAAATAGAAAATTCAATGAATAAAGAGTGCTGGACTACATAAAAAACATTACTTGACTTTAGCTGTGTTGAATTTCTTATTTGTTAATTTACGATCTGTAATAGTCCCACCACCCCTTTTCAAAGAATTTCTCTTTACGTATTTGTAAATTCCAAACCGAGCAGTTTTCTCAATTATATCTTTTACCACATCATGCTGCTGACGAAAGCTCTAATTATGAAGGTTGCAGGTATACTTTCGTTTAAATTCAACTTCCTACCTTGCTGCTCTAAAAATTAATACAGCTTTTCGTCCAGAAGATCAATTAGGTTAATTAAATCTTCACTTGCATACTTCAATCGCTTTTCCTCATCATGCTCTTTAAACGTCACAAATAGATGTTTTTCAGAGACAACCGAAGAAAATAAGCTTGCACAGGATTCACAATTACTATCAATTTTGAGTCTGTCCAAAATGTACTCAGCCACATAACCATTTGAAGGATTCCATTCAACAGAACTGTTCATTATTTCGATCTCAGAGTCACATAGAATTTCAGGGTCTAAGTCAAGGGCTGTATCATTACTTTGGTCGTATTCATCCAAAAAGTAACGGAAATCGACCAAAGTATCACAAAAATCAATTTTACAATTACCTTTAGAAAAAGGTCTGCTGAAATAATTAATAACTACTGTTTTTGAGGCAGCAACAAACTGATGACAGGTGGGATTTGTACTGAAGATACCATGCTGTCTTACTTGACCAAATAAATTTTCCAGGGAATCTTGATTTAAATTTTTCAAAAAAAGATATTTCAAGCTCTTCTCCTTAAGATCCTTCCATAGTGACATAACAGATCTAATTGTTATTTTACAGCCTTCAATAAATTTGAAATAGTTTGATTTGTCAACCCCAGTGCCCTTATTAAACATTTTAGAAAGAAACTGTAACATTTTGGACCCAAATCCTAAATGAGGTGACTTTTCTGAAACAGCTATATGGGTTTCCATCTGCTGAATTAAATTGTGCAAATTCAGCCGTTTGTAGTGACTTTGATTCACTTATAGTGCCAGATGCGTAGAATCTCCCAATTACAGCTGCCATAGTGTGACTGAGCTTTCTGGTAGCAACATTTAGGGCCGGTTGTTCAACTTTCGGTTAAACTGTGGATCACCTGAACTCCAGTTCAAATGAACTTGC